TGTATCGACAAGCGAAGTTAGGGATGAAGAATCCATGGAGGGAATCACCGTACAGCCCAAGTAACATATCCATTTGAATTGCTTTTCTTTCCGTTTTGTATAATTTTGTAATACAAGGTATACGACATCGATGATGAGTGGGCTCCATTGGCGCAAAAATTGTTTGGATTCAGCTTACTGTGTAGGTCACTTACAATTAGTTTATATCGGCCTTAAATTTCATTATTATCGTACGAATAGCTCAGGATTACCTCTGACGTTACCATTTTAAATCCAACAGATAATCTTTTTTTGCACTAATGATTGCTCGCAACTTTGAATTATTCGAAAAAATCAAAGCGTTGGGCAAGGCCAAGCGGGTGCCGCAGAGTGCGCGACACAGGGGTTCCGCTGGAAGGGGGAGAGGATCATGCACGAAAATGAAGCCGAAAGTGCCCAACAGATTATTGAAAAGTTTATGCGACACTGCCAGCGCTCGTGACCGCGGAGATCTTCGATGGAAAATTGGACGGCGCCTCTGCGCTTCGATTCCGCTACATGGCGCACCCTCAAAAAGGATTAATCATCGCCGAGCATTTCGAATTTATGCCTTTTACCTCTAATTCGATATCTGATTTCTTCAGATGCAGGGCGCATCCTAGAAAAATTGATCAGCGTTCAGCGCTAGATTGTCCATTCGAACTGAACATTACCACGGAACTACCTTTTTCGTAGGATTTCCCTGTTTCACTTATGCTATTTGAACACATATACCGAGCTAGAGTCTGGTCAGGAGGACGAACATTCCGGACACTCTCGGAGTGGAAAATTTACCGAGGAAGAAAGAAAGATGACACGGAACCACTGCCCTACCAGGTTCTATAATACTTTCCAAAAGCTGCTCCAAGAGTGATCGCCAAGGCATTCTGGTGCCAAACTTGGCATGTGAGAAAGAAATTATGTTCAACAGTCGATTATAGTTCTGGATAGCATTTTAAAATGGGCACGGGAACACATCTCTCTGAGTTCGGTTGCACCTTTCAAAACATGTATTCCATGAAAGAAGAGGCTCTTATAATTTCTTAAGCGGATGTACTACTACATATTACATGGTAATTTCGCATTATGACTGAATCTTCTAAATACAGATCTTTTTAGTGATGGTCACTTGGATGAACTTCTTCAGTCTGAACAAATTTGCTGGTCGATTTCAAATCATTGCTACCGCGGCAAAACTTCTCTCGTGCTTTCTTATTATCGCCACCGGGCTTTACTTTTACTTTGTCAAAGGTAAGGCTTTCGTGTTGTTACTTTCTGGAACAGCCATTTGTGGCTGCTTGGGAAGTCCTGGGCGCAACATGTAGTGTAGTTCGCTGCGGACGGTTGGGCGTGTCAGGCGGGATGAGTTTGGCGCGGTGCCAAACCCGTTCTCCACCAGTTGTTAAAGCGAGCAAATGATATGACTGTATCATATCGTTCGTATTACTCGTTTTCTACCACTTTTTGTCGCATGCGCGCTTCAACAAGAAGGCAGAGAGGCTGTCTGTTGACGGGGTGACACACTCATACTGCCTGACACGCCCAGCCGTCCGTAGCGAACTAGAGTGTACATGACCCTTGCAAGCGATACGACGTATGACGGGGCTTGAATCAGTGCGTTGCCGAGGCCGCTTTTCTGCACCAGTGATGCCATCCTGGGTCGGCAACAAATGACGAGAAAGACCGTTTCGGTTGTGCTGCAACTCACGTCCTTTCATACGCCCTGTCGTCTGCAGGAATCTCGCCGGGACCTAATTCGTTAACCATATGTCAAGTCAACTAGAGCAAACGTTTTTTTTTTGTTTTCTATCACTGGATCTTTTGTACTTAAGCCCTGAAAGGCTCACAAACACATTAACAACCACACACGCAATTCTCGGTACGGCAGAATATCATTCAACAGTAAGTAAGTTGCAGAGAGGAATCTGTAGAG